TGAAAAAAATGGTAATATTGCTAAAGGGATACTAACTACTATCACGGCAGATTTGGGGATTTTTAACTGATGGAATGGACTGTCATCATCAACCTCACAATAAGAACAAAATGGGCATTGAATGAGGGATAAATTTGCTTGTTTTAAAGAATGTTCTATGAGTGAATCTATATAATGTTTGTAAACATCAGGCATCAAAGTTGCTTTGAGTTGATTCTCACTAAAGTAACCAGCACATCCGCTTGGTTCTATGCAATTAATTTGTTTTCCTCGTAATGACCCTTGACCAAATAATCCTTCTTGTACAAAGTGATTAATGCATTCTTTGCAAAATAAGTGTCCCTCACTACAACATGCTAAATCTTCGAAAGGATAATCACCGTAACAACAACTACAAGTAATGAGTTGATCGTTGTCAGTATATTCCATAAAATTAATTTTTTTAGCAACTTCATAATCAGCTCTAGATAGTTCTTCCAGTCTATGTATTTGCATTCGATGGACTTCTTCTTCCAGTTCAGGATTTTCGACTTCTTTACACATTTTACGTCGAAAAACGCTGAAAATCGAATTCCACCAATTATTAGTCGTCAAATCTCGAATTTTGGCGAAGCTCTTAGCATAATCAAAATTGTTCTCAGCAAGGACAGCTTTTACAGTGGACTTCCAGGTGTCAGGAAAATCATTATATAATCGATACCTGACAGCTTTTATATAATCAGGTGATCGAATAAGTTCCCACGGTTCTATGACAAAAGGGTTAAGCCTACGAGGATAGCCCTTTAAAGATTTTTCCAGGTCTAATAATGTTTCAGTCACTTGTTGTATGTGACTATGGTCAAAGCAACATAATTTTTCACGAAGGAAACCCACATCACATTCAGGAAACAACTCATTTAATTGTTTAAGGTAAATGTTTTTAGCCTTTGTACAATTAGCACTACGACAATTATCCGGCTTTATCGGATAATGACCTTTATTTTGGTTGCATATTTTTTCGCTGATCCGTTCAACGTGGTTGTCTTGGTAAAATTCAACACAGTAACGCAAATATCCGGGGTCTTGGCAAGCGATTGTACAAGTTAGAATAATAAAAATAAAAACACAAAAAGTAAAAAACACTTAAATGCAAGGTAATCAATAAGAGACGTACCGGCATCAGGAAATAAGGCTACTAATTGTTCAATAATGGCGTCCTTTTTTGAATTGGAAGTATTATTTGGGGTTTCTGTATTCATTAATGAATTGAATAAGCTTCCTTTGCTGAACATGTTGAGAGAGGAAGCAATCTGTGACTTTGAGCTGTTGTCCTTGAACAATGAATGAACAGGTTGCGAACTGTTGAAGTGAAAAGAATATTATTTCATTAAATAACATATAGTTTTTTTATATCAAAGTAAAAAAGGGAAATGTTAGACAAGGGAGATGATTTTCATTTGACAAAGCTATGAGTGTCATGATCAAAAAGTACATCAAATAATCATTTAGTCTTTTTCGATTTGCCCCAGGTTGCATGCATCATGTGCTGCTAACATTTAATACGAACCATACAACAAATTTAATCATTTATTATTCAGAGTTGGACATTCAGGTTTAGACAAGTTTTTTAAAAACCTTATCGTTATCGTTATATAATATACAGCATATATATAATATGTAATAAACATACGTACTCACAAATCTGCAGGAACTTGGTGACGTTTATTTACGTCAAAAAGAACGTCATTACATCAATAGTGCCGTAACAAGTTTACGTAATAGACGTAATGTTGATTTTAAATCTAAAAAAAATTAAAGCGAAAGTTGTAATCCAAAATTAGAGGTCGTCTAAAAGCCTGGTAGTTTTTAACGGATTTGTATATTAAAAATCACGTGACGCATATAAATTACTATATACCTGGCTTTAGACGATCCCCAAAATTAGAAAGTTGCGCAACATTTCTATCGTCATTACCATCTAGGGCTCCGAAGTTCAATTCAGTTCAATATAGGTTCAGGTTCAGGTTCAAATGAATCTGAAATTGAACCACAAATTTTGCAATTAGAGATGCATCAGTCCGGTCCGGTCCTAATAAGACAGTTTTCGGTCCCGGTCCGGTCCGTCCTCGGTCTCTTAACGAACAGGAGAGAACGTCCCAAATATGGAAATAATGATCCGATTGTTACACAATTATTAAAGAAAATTTTTTATACGTTTTACAATACTTTTTTCGGAAGCTCGGGTAGATTATCTCATCTATTAAACGTAGTAAATTTTTAGATAAAATTGAAGCTCTCACCTAGACTTACAATATATTTGCTTAATCACTTTTAATCCCACAGTTTTCATATTACACTTTGCCAACCGAAGTTATAAGTAATTAACCAACACAATGTTGACAAATCTTGTTTGTTGTGCAAAAAAAGAGTAAGAGGATTTAAAATAATGATCTAGAAAAGTAATATAAGTGTAAATTTTATAATATATGATTGTTTTTTTGTATGTATTATATAAAATTTCTTTTAAAAAGTTAAAGTATGCATAATAGTTATTAACTTAGCTCTTTTTTTTTTTTACAAAAGTTTTTAGAACATGGTAATAGATTTATATTGGTATAATACATAATATAATATATAGAACAAAGCTATTAAGGTTTAAAGATATTTTCAATAGAATAATAGTATATGATGTTATAGAAAAATTTAAGCTTATTAGACATAGAATTAAATAAAAAAATTTCAAATAATGATGGTTATATCTTATATATAATATATGTATTATATTGTTTAAATGATCCAAATTAATAAAGATGCATCTATCTACCTGTAATAACATTCAACGACATTCACTTTAAGTTTTTAAATATAAATTTTTATTAAATTTCTTTGATTTTGTTTGAATTCTTGATTTTTTTTTAAAAATCAACGATTTTAATTGGCTGATTTGCATGTGACAATCACTCAACATTAGTGTAACCATTGTCCATATTTGGGACGTTCTCCCCTGTTGTTCACGGAATGCCGCAGAAAAATCACGGAATTGGTTCAGATCATTTTTAAATCTTGGCCTGGATTTAGGATCTAAAGTCATCATAGCGCTGGTTGACATTTAATTTGGCCAGAATTTGCGGATTATAATGCTGGCTGACTTTACGTAATTCTGGCCAATCGCAGAATTTTTGCAGAATCATCTTTGATCACAGACGGAATTGGCATTTTGTCACCGCAGAAAATCATCGTCCCTGCGCTAGGGGGTTGTATTCTTATGCGTAAATACATGTGCAAATAAAAACAATATGAATTCACGTGCAGAAAATCGTGCGCAGAAGTTGATTAGCCAAACAAATCACGGTTGAAAACTGTCGTCGATAACAAACCAGGAAATTCTAAACTTTACTAACTTGTGAACTAATAAAGGTATACTTATAAATTGTAATATTTGAATCGTTTTGGTGTGCTCTTTAATGTAATGGAGAACATGACACAACGAAAATGAACCGCCATCCGTTAAATGTAAAAGGAATAGCTAGTAATTATAAATATCAGGTCCTATGGTTTCAGAGTTTCAAAAGCTATAATAACTCAGTTATTATAGTGAGATGCAATTAATCAAAGCAAACGATTTTTGTAAAAATAACGGTCACGCCAGGACTAATGATTAGGAAAATGGAAAACAACTGCCTGACCAAAAATTTTGCAAGAAATTTTAATATAAATTTATTGCCGAATAATGTATTATGTGAACTTTATATACAATAAACCAATGATTTCTATATTGTTTTTTTTTTTTTAAGGAAAAAATAATATTGTCTATCTAATAATAAATTATAAACAAAGAATAGATGAATGAAAAAAGAATAATAAATTATATAAACAAACAAATGATTATTTAAAAATTAAAATAAAATAAAAAAATTATTTATATATGTCATGAAGTTTTTCTATTCAAAAGTCTAAATATAAAATGTTTCTTTTCTTCCATAATACGTTTAATTTCACTAACGTTTCTTATTGCACAAGCATCATTTGGTTCGATTGTCAATAATTGATTAAAATCTTCAAGGGCATCCTGATATCTGTTTATTATACGATAAGTTTCTCCACGATTTCTTAATGCCCATACATTATTTGGATCAATTCCTAATGCTTTGGTAAAATCTCCTAATGAATCTTTATATCTTCCCATCATATGATAAGTTACTCCGCGATTTATTAATGCCCATTCATTATCTGGTTTAAATTCTATTGATTTATTTAAATCGACAAGTGATTCTTTATATTTGGCTATCTTGCGATAAGTTGCACCACGAATTTTTAATGCAAAAGGATCATTTGGTTTAATTTTTAACGATTCATTTAAATCAGCAAGTGATTCTTCATATCTACCCATCATACGATAAGTTTCGCCTCGATTTCTTAATGTTCTTGCATCATTTGGTTCAATTTTTAATGATTTAGAGAAATCAGCAAGAGATTCTTTATATTTACTCATCATGTGATAAGTTAATCCACGAATACTTAATGCGTATGCATCATTAGATTCAATTTCTAATGATTTATTTAAATCAGCAAGAGATTCTTTATATTTACCCATTTTGAAATAAGTAGCACCTCGATTTATTAATGTAAATGAATTATTTGATTTAATTTCTAATGATTTATTTAAATCTTTAAGTGATTCTTTATATTTGTTTATTATGTGATATGTTATTCCACGATTTCTTAATGCTTCTGCATTATTTGGTTCAATTTCTAATAGTTTAGTTAAATCTTCAAGTGATTCATTATGTTTGTCCATCATACGATAAGTTATTCCTCGATTTAATAATGATTCAATATTATTTGGATCAATCTCCTCTAATATTTTATTTAAATCTTCAAGTGATTTATCATACTTTCCCATCATTCGATAAGTTATTCCACGATTTCTTAATGATTCTAAATTAATTGGATCAATTCCTAATGATTTATTTAAATCTTCAAGAGATTTAACAAGTTTTCCCATTTTTCGATAAACAGTTCCACGATTTATTAACGCAAATATATCATCTGAATTAAGTTTTAAAGATTCATTTAAATCAGAGAGAGATTCTTCATATTTACCCATTAATAGGTAAACTTCACCACGAATTTTTAAAGTAAATGCATCATTAGGTTCAATCTCTAATGAATTATTTAAATCTTTAAGTGATTCTTTATATTTATTCATCATACGATAAGTTGCGCCACGATTTCTTAAAGCAAAAGCACTTCCTGGTTGAATTTCTAAAGATTTATTTAAATCATCTAAAGATTCTTTAAATCTACTCATCATTCGATAGGTTTCACCACGATTTCTTAAAGCATTAGCATTATTTGATTCAATATCTAATGATTTATTTAAATCTTGGAGAGATTCTTCATATTTGCCAATTTTACGATAAATTATTCCACGATTTCTTAATGCCTTTGCATTATTTGGATTAATGTTTAATTGTTCATTTGCATCTTCAAGAGATTTCTCGTTTATCTCATGAATTTCTTCACTAACAACAACTCGTAATTCAGAAAATCGTACATCTATAAATTTGTTAAAAGTTATTGGAAATGTGTTTATATAATGCATTTACTGTATAAAGAATGAACAATTAAATATAACGAACCTATTGAATTAAAGTCTTCAATGGGAACACTATCAATCTTATTATTTTG